TTATTTGATTAAATTCCAGCCATGAGAATCTTGTTTAAATTTATAAAAAGAAAGCAATTCATTTCAAAATAAACTCTTTACAAAGACATATTTATAAAGATGGAAAAGTGCCAAAACCTTTCTGGAGCTCGACTGAGGTTGGCTTAATATAGATTCACAACTTGAAACTAATTTGTGAACTTAATTATTACCTGCTCTTAAGTTTTTGAGTTTTTTTATATCTGCAATTAAGGGTGTACCCAGGAACTAGAGGGGGCACCTTATTTAATTCACGGACAAGTGAGTAAAGAAAGAGAATCTAAAGCTTTGCTAACAAATTATTTGCCTTTATCTCCTACATAATGATCAAATTGTATAGTGTTACCTTAAATTTTTAAAGAGCTGCTTTCAAGGATCCTCTCTGCCCCTCACTAAGTCTTTGAAAGAAAACCTTGTTTGTCTTACAAATTTCATATATATTNCATCACGCACAAGCTGTACCCAATTCAGCTTCAGTGATTACCCTGTTTATTCATTCATATGTATATGTATATTATATGTGAGAAATATGTAGTAACTTCTATTTGGTGAATAAACAAAACAAACATTACATAAACAATAAAAAAAACATTTGTTTTAGTGCTTATTTGTGCCAGTATCTTGTCAGTAATACTTCAAGTCCATTAACGAGTTAAAAATAAAAATGATTTATTCTATTCAGGATACGGTAGAAATAATTGAATATTATTTCAAAAATATTGAATGTGCCAACACAGCCAGTAGAATTTTCAATGGGCAACACTCAAACAAAAACTTAAATCGTAAATACGTTTTGGAACTAATTTAAAAATGTCATCAAACGGGCTCTGCGACTAATGATAAACGTCAAATTAAAAACCCAGTAAGAAACGAAGCGGTGGAGGTAGCCGTTTTAGGACAGGTTGCTGCGGATCCAATTCTTGGAACACGAAAGCTTGCCGAATTATCTGGAGTAAGTCGATGTATCGTCGGACGAATTTTGAAAGCTCACAGATTTCATCCATATAAAATTAAACTGGTTCAGGAACTTAACGAAGACGACTTTGATCGTCGCATACAATTTTATGAAATCACGAGTGAACGTGTTATATAAGATCCAAATTTCGTTTTCAACATTTGTTTTTCGGATGAATGCAGTTTTTATCTCAACGGAATTGTTAACTGACGTAATTGTCGGTACTGGTCAGATTGTAATCCAAGAGTGTTTCACCAAGTACATACGCAATACTCACAAAAGTTGAAGGTTTGGGCTAGAATATTTGGCGATCTTATTATTGGTCCATTTTTCTACCAGGTAATCTGACTGAGGACATGTATTTGAAATTACTCGAAGATACCGTTGATTCAACGTTAACGCATATAATAGAAAACAATAAAATATTTTGATGATTACCTAATATTCCAACAGGACGGAGCTCCTCCACATGTTGCTGTAGCGGTTCGTCAATACCTGAATGGCCCCCTTGATCTCCCGATTTATCCCCCTCAGATTACTTTTTGTATGGTCATTTAAAAAGTAAAATATACGCCACTCAGCCGGGTTCGTTAAAAGAGTTACGTCAACGTATTATAACCGAATGTCGTCACAAATAACCCCAGACATGCTCCAAAACATCAGACAAAGTTTTGAGACGAACTTATAATCATGTTTAGCAGTGAATGGAGAACACTTCGAGCATCTACTGTGAATTAATGTAGTTTGAGATTGATCTTAATTGAAATTATGCACAATTTTTCTATTTTCAAGTTCATGCAATGTTAATTTTTTCAATTTCTGTTCTTTTCTCGTGAATTGTTTACATTACCTTTCAAATACAATATCATAAGTTGGAATACGAAACAGTTCTTTTTCCCGCAATAGGGTGCCAGTATGAAAAGTTAGGTAGCGAACACTCACATGTCTGAATTCCTTATGGAATTACGTTTTCAATGCTGTGTGACACTTAGTACTTTCCCTACTCAAATTATGAATGACTAAGGGGTGGGGAGAGAGGTAGGACAGTTGAGGTTACGACAGAAAGATATCTCCCTTGGATTTAAAATCGACGTATTCTGCATTATTGTCACAACACATGTGCTTTGAAGNATCCTCTCTGCCCCTCACTAAGTCTTTGAAAGAAAACCTTGTTTGTCTTACAAATTTCATATACATTATTGATTAATAATGAAATTCTTTAGTTGATGAAGTCTTTTCATTCAATTATTAGTTTACTTATCCTATTGTCCATTTTTTATTTTCAGAAATATCAACAATAAAGTGAAATTTTTCAATTTTCAGGTGTCAGTTGATAATGTTTCGTTGCTCCCTGAATTACAACCTGCCTTAAAATTGATGTTTGCTGAACATTGTGAAGAACTAGAAAATAAGGCTCTCAAGCGACAAATGAGACTAGAGAGAGAAAGAAGTGCCTCCTTAGATAGGAATTTGAAAAGAAAACAAAGTTTAACTTGACGTTTGTAATTAAACAAAAATTATGAAGTGTGATATTTTTATTTGCTAAACCTGAGTGTTCTTTAAATCCTAGATGTCATCAGATCTCTTTACAATTTTATTCACAATCATTTCAAAATAAATATGTTGCTTTTCTAAAATTTGATAAATAACGAAAGTACAGATATTTATTTTTTACTTGATACTTTTTATTGTCAGAACTACTTCATGGGATAATAATTTGCATAGAAACGAAACATAACATACTAACTGAATACTCTCTGCTTGTGTTGTAGTGTCTAGTGTTACTTACCTGTAAGAATTATATTAGTTCATATTGATATACATTTTAACTTTTTCATAAATAATCTACTTGTTATCTTACTTCGGAATTGTATTATTCTTAT